AATCACACCCTCCAAACAGACACCAACTGGCGCCCCACCCACTGGCCCCCCAAACGACGCACTTAAAACAAATGCCACCCGGCGCCCCACCTACCAGCCCCCTAACATCGTTTTTCAACAGCACATTGATATAACACATCCTTTGCCCTTTCCCCCACAGGGCCCACACCACACGGACAAAAAACATGAAAAAAACACCCACTATCCCCCACACACCACAACACCTCCAACACAGAATGACGACACACGTCCACATACCAACACCACACATACTCCAATCCCCACCGAAAAAAACAAAACACAGAACACAATAAACAACATCACTAAAAAATTCCACAACACCTCGGATCCCCAAAACGACACTCCAGTCCAAAATCACAGCCAAGCTTCTGCACCTTACGCTGCTAACAAACGACCATCACACTGCCATAGCCAAACACTACACGACGCACATCAACTCCACTTGCCTCACGCCAACACCTTCCCGCCACAGCATCCTATCTTGGCATCCCCATCTCCACCCTCATACACCCCACAAAAACAACTCTCTCCTACGCCTACCTACACCTCGGTGACCTCGCCGCTCAACCTACCCACTCACACATCGAACATGCATACACTCTTACACACCCACACACACACATACACCGTCACTACAGCACAAACGCCCACACACACCCCATAAACCTTACACACACCCTCACACACGGAAACACAACCACACATGCCCCCCCGCCTCGAACACTCACACACCCCCGCCCCCCTTCAAAACACTTGCTCCTCGCGAGCACACAACAACATCCCCCTAACCCAAACTTCAAGTTACACTCCCCTCCTCCCACCTCCAAACCTCTCGTCCACGTCCAGCACTCTCCCATTTATACACTATGGAACCTCGAGTGTACAAACCCTCTACTCTCAAGAAGCGGATTCCTCCATCATGCCGCTCTCGGTGCTCGATGTTCCATTCCCTATGCTGCTACTACTCTCTCCCCCTCAGTCCTCCTCCTCTACCTTCACCTCCTCCTGGCCTACGCTCCCTAGCGCCACAGTAGCTCCATCCTCCATAGCTTGTTGTTCTATATAGGCCCTCTCCTCTCATCTCTTCCATCTGCTGCACAGCTTTGTTTGACATCACAGAGTCACATGCAGCCTTATTATGAAGTCTGTGGTCGGCAGATACTCCCTCGACACTTGCTTGACGGATTGACACTGCGACCGACAGGCCTGGAGCAGTATCACTCTGCTTGGGTGTTGAGGTGATGGCGGCAGTCCAGGAACATCTCTCAGATGCTGAACATTCGGTAAGTTTTGCCTCGCATAAAACTACACCTCCCTCTCATCCATCACCCCCACCACTTCACCTCCTATCTGGGAGGCAGAGGAACACCACCCTCTGATGAGCCGTGATGGGCGCAAGCGACGAAAAGCGCTTTACGGGATGCGCCACCCCTCCTCTGTTGGGTACTATGTCGACATAGATGGCTTCGCCATCTCTGCTCCCACCTCCCTCCTCCTTCGGAGTCCTTCCTCTTCTCTCTCTCTCTCTCTCTCTCTCTCTCTCCCTCTCTCTCTCTCTCTCTCTCTCTCTCTCTCTCTCTGTCTCTCTCAATCCACGACGACCCTATGATTCTGTCTGCAGGGATTGCCGGTACATGATTTTGGTTGGCATCGCGAGCGGTTTTGACAAGGACATGTGCACAAGTGTGTGGATCCTATAGAGGTCCCCGTATCGCTTTCGGGTTGCTTTGGCATTTCGATTCGTAACACACACTAATGGACAACTTGTCCTCTACTCAATGCAGGGGTCGACTCCACCTGCTGACCTCCGACTGCACTAAGATACACCTTGGCCACAGTTCTCACCCTTCCCCCCCCATTTTGCTACAAAAAATATGTCGCCTTCCCCACGACGATCAAGGAAGATCGCCATTGTCATTCTCTTTTTTTTTTTCCTTCCTCCTCCCCCCCGCCCCTTTCTTACTTTT